GCGTGTGCTCAATCTGTAACGTACTTGCAGGATTATTACTGCCTGTGTGATCTTGAAGACTGGCGTAAAGGGGCCTGCTAATACCAGATAAGTTGAGTGCATGTGTGCGTCATGCATATCTATAATTCTGTCACACTAGAACGCAATTAATTCAAACAATATCATATATACTCCCTCCATTCTAAATTATATGGCATTTTATTTTTTCTATATATATTATCTTTAGTATTGTATCTACGTATAGTGTATATCTAAGTGCGTAGCAAACACTATGTTGTAGGTCAAAACGTCTTATAATTTAGAATGGAGGAAGTACAAGTTTGTTACATACTTCATCCGCTCTAGTTTATAAGGCATTTTGTCTATGTCAACAGTCAAAACTTTATAAACTTTGTTCAATAATTTGGCCAATATTTTTTAACTATTGTAATTCAAACTTGATACTATAGATTTGTAATTAAATGTACTAATAATTATAATTATATAATTATACACAATAAAATACAACATAAATAAATAGTCAAAATATAATTTAGGAGACCGTGTCACGATAGTTTATGCCTTGTAAATGGGGTCAGAGGGAGTCAAATTTTTTTATAATCTTTTACTTTTTTTTTCTGATTACAGTAGTTCTGCTGGCACAAGTAACGTAGTGTTGTGCTAAGACCGTCCACAGGGTTTATTTGCAAATGGCTTCAGCTAAGAATCTAGAGAAGCCAACTTTAGGTGGTGACTTTTATTATCCCTCTAGTATAAAAATGGCTTCTTTCCTCTACAGTTTCTGAACCATTTTATGAGCCATTGTTTGACAAAACTTCATCTAAAGAGCTAGAGAAGCCCAGCCGCCAGCCGGTCATTCTTCCCGTGCCCTCGCTTGGTATCTTGGAACCAGGATCAAGCGAGATCCATCCAGTTGCATTTTTGTACTCCAGGTCGGGGCATGAATGTCAAAGCCACTGCCAAAACGTGGGACAGTCTCTCGCTAAGCTAGTGGAGCTTCAGTGCACAGCATACGACTTTGCAACCACCAATCAAGCAATAAACATGACCCAAATCCCCGTTTAGGCTTAAGCTCAGGTGTGAATAGCGGCCACGGCTGGTCGCAAATAGTATGACCAGGGTCAGCAAATTAGGCGCGCAGCATGTTTGCTTTAAGCGGAGGAATGCCTAGCAGCAGCAGCACTAAACATAAAACTCCAAGCAAAGAAACAAATTAGGCGTGCTCATATAGAGGATCGAGTACCTTTTTGCAACCCATGCATGCAGGATGGTTGCGGATCTCCCAAACTTGGTGTGACCTTGTGCCTGAGTTTCGTCCCTTTGTCTTCACTTCTTCACTAAACTATATGATTCTGGAGATAGCCTTGTTCTCCATATTTCGGAAGTGAATGGCAGTTCAAACTTGTCTTACTTGCATTACAGCTCTGACAGCTATTCGACGTGGTATAACTAGCTACTCCCTCCATCCAAGTGCACATCTAGAGTTCAAAATTTATCCCAAAATAAGTGCACCTCTAAGTATAAGATCAACTAACTCTAGTTGTCTTTTTTCTACCTTTTCTCTTTCCCAGTGCAATGATTACATCTTTATAGGAGTATACATGTATTTTTTCACTGACCTTGATCTCTACACCAAAATTCTAAGTGTAATTATTTTGGCATGGAGTGAGTAGTAGGTTACCACCTGAACTGTGTTTGGAGGTTAGTTAGGCTATCTTTCGATTTCAATGAATTTCAATTTCTCTTAGAAAGACAGGCAGCTCTAGCATTCACTTAAGAGAGACAGATGAGGAAGTATATATATATTCATCTTCTGACACGACTAAAAAATGGATTAGGCGGCTGAAAAGTCGTGACGAAGAACCATCGGTCGGTCCAATCACCGATCACGGCGGTGTCTGGCACATTGCCAAACTTGAGTAATATATAAACACTACACAGACAGCAAGACGCAAGCTAGCTGCATGCGCCGCTGCAAGGCAAGGTCCGTCAACGAGCGCGCATGGCAGTGGCGCACGACCACGACATGCTTTGCTCCGGCCGACAGTGGCGACTGACTGTTGATTATGAAGAGAGAGGTAGGCTGCCCGTTCGCTTGGCTGAAAAAACAAGACAAGCGAACAGGGCCAGCTCTTTTTTTTGCCTGCAGCCTCTAATAATCCTTGCATGCCGCGCACTGTCGGTTGGAAGACTCTGTTCGCCTGGCGATTGCAAATAAAACTCCGCTGGATAGGGATAAGAATGGGATCAGGGCACCGATGCTTAACTAAGCTATAAGCTGCCGTGAAGCCCTGCGCTAGCCGCGCGCTCGTGTGAGTGATTGAGCGGCAGCAATAGCAGGCTATAGCCGCCATCCCACCATATGTCATCTGGTTACCCAAGGACGGTAAAAACTACTAATTCCAATCAGGCTGAACCTTATCCGGTATACCTAAGCGGCAGATAACACCGCATTTGTGCGCTAGTAATCTGGATAACACAACACGAGTTTAGCCAGAAGCAAATGCCAACGCTATGGTGCAGTAAAGAAAAAGCTTAGCAAGACAGATACCGTTACACCGGTCGCCTGGGCAGAGAGCAGTCAGAGAACTGGGCTGTGTGCTCTGCTCCACTGTGGACAACGGTGATGCCAATCTCCACGCATCTTTTTTGACGTCTGTCGACAAGAGGCGACGAGATGCCAGGCCAGTCCACCACTCCAAGCCTCCACTCTCCAACGGAGCAAGGCGAAGGCCGGCAGCCGGCCGAGTGCATCGTGCCATCGTGGACGTAAATGGAGTCAGTGCTGGAGTGGTGAAGTGGTCGTCAGTGCGGCACACCAGTGCAAGTTGAAGAAAGTCTTTTCACCGTGGGGCCCAAGTGGTGCGTGCGAGCATGCACGCATCACTCACACTCGCTCCCACCGCGCCAGCTACTTGCGTTGCTCGGGCGAACAGAGTTGGCCCAACCCGAAGCTTGCCAAGCCAGAGTTTCAAGGGCAGAAACGTCTGTCGACATGCATGTTCTGAACACCATGAGAGGGCAACACTAGAATCTATAAGATGAAGGTAATCTGAAGCAACTTGGCTGGTCTGTTAAGAAAAAATCGTGCAGAATTGTTCCTCTGGGTTGAAGTTATTTTTCCCTGAAAGCTCACGATCAGTAAACGACATGCTAACCAAACCAGAAATTTAGCACGAATTACAAAGAGCTCTTTTTAAAAAAGTTAAACTGGATTTCATTTCACCACAGGCATAGTGAAAAGATGGGGCTAAACAATTGCTATTGCAAATTTTGAAGTGCCTTTTGCACGTTACATTGTGGACAGTGCAGTCATGCTTGACATGCCTTTTTTTTTCGAATTATACAAGTACAGACGCTCAACACGTGCGTACATTCACCCCCTATGAACACACATACGTAAATCCTACCCATATGAACATGCCGGGTGGGTAGGTTCCACCACAAGGGACCTAACCAACTGAGCTAGGCTCAGTTCGCAAAGACATGTTTGGTTGCTTGACATGAGTACAGGCAAACAAGGCAATGCAAATGAGTTGAACATGCTTATTGAGTTACTATGAGGCATATTAAACTAGAGATACTTGATTTGGATAAAAATCATTGATAACCCTGGTATACATACTTGATCTACTAATAATAGGCAATGGCACCTTCTATCGAGTGGCCACCACCAAACTTATTTTAAGTCATGAAACCCACATACATAAATCCCAGCAATACAAATCAGCAAGATAAAAACTGACGAAAGCATAAGGATGTCACCAATTGCCATCTACAAACATTATTCTATTCATGGATAAGCAACCCCCTCAGAACCGAATGCCATAATATGGCATTCAACATCAGGATACTCCTTCGTAGTGCTGCGGATCTTCTCATAGCCATTGTCACTTGGTGAGATGTCATCAGAAATACTCACTGTCAATCTTCGAAGCACTATTGCACATCGGAGTATGAGTTTTAGGAAATCAACTTCATCATCTTCTCCTTGCAGGCCATGAATTTCAACAACTTCAAGATTAGCCAACGAGACATCTTCACTTCTCCAGTTGTTGGGCTGTTCACAAGGATAATTTACTAGGCACGACACTTGTACCTGAAAGAAAAATGGAGTAAGATTAGTCACTGCCAGTGTAAAAAATAGCGTGCGATAGCGCCGTTATAGCGGCCACAAGCAGCCGCCGTGACAATATTGCACATATTTATGCTATCTCTGCTAGCACCGCTATAGCGTGCAATAGCGCCGCTAAACCTCATAGCATAGCGTAATGTGTAGCGGCGTTATTCCCTTGTTCATAGTTGTGGGCAAAAACTGAAGCCCGGTTGATTTTCGTCGTTGTCTAGCCCACTATTGCCCCCCATAGGCATAGTAAACCATTGCCAGACAGCTATAACCCTAGACGACACCATTCCAAGCACGAGTGCGGCCGCCGACGGTTGATTCGATTGGGCGATGGCGGCTCCGACGGGCAGCTGCCTCACCTGAGACCGGCAACAAGCATCTGCACTGGCAAGACAGCGGCCGACAACAATGTCTGAGCCAAGCGAAACCAATCCAAGTCCATATCAGAGTGCGCCAACAGTAGGCGGCCAAGGCAAGTTCTTCTCCCCTGTGTACTCTTTACTCCTATTTCTATTAGATTTAGATGTAGTCAAGTTCTTCTAGTTGCAGGGCGTAGACATGTTGTTCTTCTCTGCATATGAGATTTCTAGCCGGTGTAGTGATTTTGATTAGTTAATTGAATCATTGTCTACTATGTAGGCTTATCTAGCGCTACATCCACAGCACAACAAACAGATGATTCTGTTGTTGGAGCATCTGGCCTAGCTTGGAAGCACTGCAAATACTAGATATGAACAGAAAAATTCTCTAAAGTGCAAGTATTGTAAAAAAAACTTATCATGGTGGAATAACTAAAATAAAATACCACCTTGGTAAAGTTCCTAAGTCCAATGTTGCAAAGTGTGAGAAAGTTCCATCTGATGTGAAAGCAGAAATGATTAATTTGCTCTCAAAGAAGTTGGATAACAAGCAAAGGAAGGCTAGGGATAAAGAAGATGATAGAGTTGAAGTTGACTTGAGACAATCAGAAGGAGAAGAACATAGTGATGATGAAGATGGAAATTCAGTTGTGCTGAAGAAGGTGACAGGCAAAGGTGCCTCTTCAGGTGGTCCTATTGATAGGTTCTGTAAACTAACACTAGAAGAAATAGTGGCTGCAAGGAAGGGCAAACGTGTTGTTGCTGATAAGGTTCAATCTAAGATATCAACTGAAAAAAGGGAACAGAAAAGGGACAGAGCATGTGAGTACATATCCCACTTTTTTATGAAACGGGTATCCCACACGACACAGTCATACTTCCAAGCTTTGATCTTATGCTTGAGGCTAACTTTGGTAGGAACTTGAGAGGGCCAAGTCCATATGAGATGAGTGGGAAATTCTTACAGAAAAGGAAGAAGAAAGTGTTGGAGTCATTGAAGTCACACCAGGAGTCTTGGGAGCTAAATGGATGCACAGTTATGACATATGCTTGGACAAACAAGAAAGGTAGAGATGTGATGAATTTGGTGGTTCATAGTGCATATAGTGTTTGTTTTCTTGATTCAATTGATTGCTCAGCCGTGAAGAAAGATGGCAAATACATTTTTAAATTGGTTGATAGATGTATTGAAGACATAGGGGTGCAGAATGTAATTCAAGTTGTGACTAACAATGCAAGATCCAATGAGGCAGCAACAAGTTTATTGAAAGCAAAGCACCCCTCTATTTTCTAGAATGGTTGTGCTGCCCATACCATTGATCTAATGCTAGAAGATATAGGAAAGTTGCCATCAGTTGCAGAGACAATTAACAAAGTGCTTGACTGTGTTTCTGTATGCCCATACTAGAGTTTTGACCTGATGAGGAAGTTTCTTTCTAGAGATTTGGTGAGGTGTGGTATTGCTAGGTTTGCTACAGCTTATCTCAACTTGAAGAGCTTGCTAGATAACAAGAAGCAATTGCAGAGGCTTTTTAGGGAAAATGAGCTCAATGAACTAGGCTATCTGAACAAAGTCAAAGGGAAGAAAGCAAACAAGATTGTGAGGTCTGGAACTTTTTGGAAAGGAGTTGAGTCTGCCGCCAATTACTATGAGACTGTTATGTTCGGTAAAGTCTATAGACGCCGTAGTGGCTAGGCTCAACCGTGTGCCAAGCTGGGCATGGTCACCAGGGGGCGCACAGGTTGGAGTTTGGGTTAGTTTGGATTGATAGTCATTAGAGTTTGGTTGGTTGAGATTACAGAGTCCTAAAAGATAGGGATAGTTGGTTAAGTTGAGTCCTATATGTATCAAACTCTATGGATCAGTAAAGGTTAGCCAGGGATTGAGATTATATCTCCCATTGGCCCCCTGGGCAACCACGTTCTTCTTCCTCTCTCGCGAAACCCTCACAGCGACGGCGCCGAGCACGGCGCCGCCTGTTCGTCGTCCTCGCTTCAAGCCTCGTCCACCCACCCGACACAACTACAACCTCAGAAGCCTAAGCTCTAACAGAGACATTAACTATTGTGTTGAGGAGAAAATGGACATTGATATGCCAGCAATGGGGTTCTTGTATGGGAGTCTACTGGAGGCAAGAATGAGATCTCTAGGAGGTTTAACATTGAACATAGTAGCTTTCAGGAAATGTTTCAAATCATTGATAGAAGATGGGATAGTAAGCTAAAGACACATTTGCATAGGGCTAGTTACTATTTTAACCCTTTCTATTATTATCAAAACAAGTTGATATAGAGATGGATGGAACATTTAGAGACGGTTTAATAACTTGGATTATGAAGCTTGTTCAGAATGAAGACACTTAAGAGAAGATTATTGAAGAGCCCGAGCAGTATCAGGATGGTGATGGATCCTTTGGCAAAAAATTGCTAAAAGGCAGTGGAAAAATAAAATTTTTGATCCAGGTATGAAAACCTTCATTGTAAAGTTTTCTCTAGGTAATTAATTTCTTAGAATTGTCCACTAATAAGTTACATGGTCCTCTATTTTTTAATGTAGCTAAGTGGTGGCTGAATCATGGAAGTAGTTCACCAAACGTCCAAACCTCAGAAAATTAGCCGTAAAAATTCTAAGTTTGATATGAAAGCTCCTCAGGTTACGAGAGATGCCAGAATTCATATGAACAAGTATGAAACTGAATTACTGAAATATTGAATTATCACTTGTATGTTCATTGTGCAATTCTTCAGACCTCTTTTCTTACTAAATTCAAACCTATGCAAGGTCCCCACAAAGAGACACAATAGGCTCCTTTATGATAGAATGAAGGACCTTGTGTTTGTGAAATTCTAACTCAAAATTGAGGCAAAAGAAAGTCAACAAGAATAGAGATCCCATTGAGAAATCTATTCTTGATGTTCTACAAGATAAAGACAATGAGTGGATCACAAGCATTGAGCCAAAATGAGGAGGAGAACAAGAGCAGGAAGGAGAAATAGGAGAAGCATCACAGGGAGTTGCAGCTGCAGCTCAAGGACAAGAAAAAAGAAAGAGAGGTAACCGAAAACTTAGGAATAGGAAGAGAAAGAAGTTGATCCCTACTCAGGATGAGGAGTCACCTGCTTCATCTTCTAATGGAAAAGTTGACAATGATATGTCATCTGGTTCTAGTTCTGATTCTAATTCTGAGTGATCAATGATCTGTTCTGCTGAGTGTGATTGTGAGCCTGTTGTTACGAATAAAGGGAGACTGAACTGGATGATTGTATTGAGGCCCAATGGCGACTATATATACAGTACATAGGAGGCACAAGAGGGAAACCCTAGACTAGAAGATTACACTAATATCCTTGACTATTATACCTTAACACCCCCTCTCAAATGCATTGTGAATGCAATGGCATGTTAAGGTATAATAGTTAAGGGTATTAGTGTAATCTTCTAGTCTAGGGTTTTCCTCTCATGTCTCCTATGTACTCTATATATAGTCCCTATCGGGCCTCAATACAATCATCCACTTCAGTCTCCCTTTATTCGTAACAAAAATAACAGGACTACTATTCACCAAAGAAAAGTCCATAAGGTTATTCACATAATTATTGAGATGTAATGAAACATGTAGAAAAAGCAGAACTACTGATGTTCAGAAAATAGCACAATATTCAGATCATAACACTCGCAGATCATAAGACTCATTAGAAAGCACATGCTGCTACATGACAGAAAGAAATCACAACAGAAACATTTCATGTGTCCCCTTGTACAAAGCAGACTCAACCATGACAAATTTTTAGATTAAGATTCCAGTGTCCACATCTCTGTTTCATGTGACATCTCTACTACTCAGTATAAGAGAAGCCCTGCTATCATATACAATAGCAACAACAATCAGTGCCACTTAAACTCATACCATCCACGAAAAGCAGTCGAAAAGCATGCAAAAAGCAGAGCTAAAAATGACTCGCATAAATTCAGAATTTACTGGAAGCAAGAACATTTTACACTTCTCCAGGATGTTGAGGCAATAATATGTGGTCACTATTCACTGTAATATCTACTATTCACTGGAAGCTGATTTGATTAAACAACTTCCATGCATTTTAGTTTGGATATCTACTATTCACTGGAATTGGCAAGAAAATATATTCAACAGTACAACAAAGTTGTTATACCAAAAGCCAATGGCTTCATCGTAAGGTTAGCACAATAGTCAGCTCTTGGTAGCAAACCCAGATTGGTAGCAAACAATGAACATAAGTAAACCCAGATTATTCTCGAGGCAAGTGATAGTGAAACTGGTATGAATAGGCACAGCAAACTGACCCAACAACAGTTAAGCATTACCTGTCTTAAATCTCTTTTCCTTTGGAGAACTAATTATCTTAACCTCTAACAATGATTAATAAATGTTTAGAAAAATAACAGGAATGCAATGTAAAAAAATAGCAATAATGCTGTCTATAAGGAAACAAGAAGAGAAAAGAAGGTGATCCAAGACCAAGAAAGTAGACAAGTACAGACAGTATTGACAAAAGGGTACACACTAAGAAATCTAAATTTGCAAAATCTAAATTGTGCTAGTCTGGTTTAGAAGGTTACTTAGCCTAGCCACATTTGTAAAATATAAATTTGCTTTCTATGAGACCTTGCCTATAAACTTCAAAGTGCTGATACATACAGGAGCAGCCAAAATTTTCAAAAATAAGTATACTGATGAAGAGACAAGGCAAATATTGTAGAAACACATTTGGGACAGCATAAAGCCGGAGACTCGGCTGACAGAGTGATTCTATCCTCAGGTAAAAATACAGTTCACATCACCCTTCCCTACAGACTCGCTAGAGCACCAGTGACTTGTAAACTATACTCATTTCTAGCGGTATCTGCAAAAATATTTAACTACGTATGATGTTTTTGTCAGAAATTTAGGCCTCATTTCATTCATGAAATATGATTAAGTATTACCATCATGGCCATATCTGATAGTGAAACTGATAGGACATGCAGCTAGCTAGCATTCAACATTTCAATACAGCTATTAGGGAGTGAGTCAAACTGTTGAGAGGTGAGTGAGTGAACAAGCAAGCAAATTGCAAGCATTAATTTTGTGTGGCTCGCCTGCCAGTAGTACTGCAGCCGAAGGAGTGGAGCAGAGCGGAGGTGAGCTGCTTCATGGCCACCACTTTGCCGTCACCGAGCGTGCCTTTGAACACGCACCCGAACCCACCCTCACCGAGTGTGCGCTGGCGTTGTTGGAGCGGAGGTGAGGAGGCCCCGTGCACTGGAGCTGGTGGAGCTTCTCCGCACAGGTGGCTCTGGCTGGCTCGCGGAGGCGACTGCCCTAGCGGAGGAGGGGCTCGGCGACCGCTCTAGCCGAGGGGATCGGCGACGCGTAGTCGCCCTCGCGGTCGCGAGGTTGCAGGGAAGCGGTCACAGGAAGGTGTGGAGGTGGCGAAGGGACATGGTGGCGCGGGCGGAAGGGCGCGGCACGGAGATGATGGGCGGCTCCCAGTTCGGCTCGGTTGTGGTCTCGCAGAGACGAAAAGGAGGGGGCGGCGGCTGATGGATGGGCGCCGTTGCGGCCGAGCTGGGCGCTGTCGTGGTTCCTCGGGGACGGAGAGGAGGGGTGCCGGTCCGGAGGTGTTAAGGTCCGGTCGGCCGGACGATAACCAGGCGCCGACAATTTTTTCCCGAGGCTGGCAACTCCTGCTTGGATTTCTTCATTGGGCCGATTTAACTTTCTCTTTAGTGGGCCGTTTCGACGTGACATGCATGAAATCCAAAATTGTTCACATCAGCACACGTTAAAGTAAACAAAAAAAAAGTCATAGCTGCTAAACCAAGTATCGAAATTAAAATCTGATTGCACCATTGTATTCCGTCCTTGCAACAAACTTGTCGGTGTTTCGAGTAAACACCAACGAGTAAATTTGTGTTATTGCGCGTCTGGCCCGGATGGTGTGCTAAAAAGACACGAGGTTTATATTGGTTCAGGCAGAATGTCCCTACGTCCAGTTCGTGGTTGTTGCTCGTGTTATTAGCACTGAAAAGTTCATAGTAGGAGTTACAAACGGGCGAGAGAGGGACGGGTCCCAAGTCTCTGATAAAAAGGTCGAATGGGTGCTGAGAGCTTGGTTGCTGCTCAGCTATGTGGCGTGATGTGTGATGTCTTGAATCGATCCCCTTAGTGGGGTTATTTGCCTTCCCTTTTATAGGTCAAGGGAGAGTAGGGATTACAGATGGGAGAAAAAAGAAAAACTAGAGGCAAAGGAAATCCTTCTACGACGCCGGGTCTTCCTTTTCCTCTGTGCGGGCCCCACTGACATGGCAAGCGAGGACAGAGATAGCTCCACGCCGGGCGCATGTTCGCTGACCCTGACAGGGCCGCGCTGGGCGTCTGTCCGCTGATGATGCCATGTCCTGGCATTGTCAGCGAGTTGTCACGTCCCATCTCACCCCGGTGCTGATCCGTGGCTATACAGGGAGCAGACGGCGCATTGACCGCACGTCCGTTACTGTAGGTGATGCGAGTTCTCTCCTGGACCATAGTGGTTGTCGTGAGCTTCCATCAAGATCCGTGCCCGAGGGCAAATGGCGGCGCCCCACAACACTGTAAGGTAAATGTCGGCGCCTACAACACTGTTTTGGGCTCTGACATGTCTGGAAGGTCGCAAAGCACCCTTCTTGTCATATCCTGA